AGTCCTGGGGGGGGGTGGGTCCTGTCATAGCCTGGGGTGCTGAGGGGTTCTGTTAGGTCTGGGAGGGTCTGGCAGGTCGGGGGGGTGAGGGGTGCTGGGGTGTCTGGCAGGTCGGGGTTTCTGTCAGGTTGGGGGGCGGTCTGTCAGGTCGGGGGGGTGAAGGGGTGCTGGGGCGGTGCTGGAGCTCCAGAGTGAGATCTCCTGGCTGAGCAGAGGCAGAGCTGGATCTTGGGGGGATGTGGTGGGGAGAGCAGCCTGAGAGGGAAATCCCAGAGTTTCCCAGGATTCAGTGATCCCTCTGCTCCTGGGAAGCAGGAGGAAGGGGGGACTGGAGGCTTTTGGGTGCTGGGAGCTGTCCCCTGCCTGTGCCACCTCGCCAGCCCCATGGAGGATTGCCAGCCCTGCTGTGCCCTAGGGGGCTAGCAGGCTTTTCCCTGGAGCAGAGCTCCTGGCAGGAGACCTCAGGACCGGTGGTCTGGAGATCTGAGGATGCAGAAAGGCACCTTAAACCCCCTCCTTGGACTGCCCTGCCTCTCCTCTGCCCAGTGGAAGGCAGGATGCCCCTTCCCTGAGCTCTGCAATGGGCAGATCTTCTCCCTCCTGGCCTCTGGAGGAGCTCCCAGATGTGGAGCAGGAGGATCACGGTGGGTTCCAGCAGGAAGGTCCAGCTCCTCCAGCCGGGAGGGACTGATGGAGGCATCCAAAAACAAAGCTGGGTTTGATGGGAGACCAGACTGGTGCCCAAAGGTTCCCCCATGGACACAGAATGAGAAGGAGGAGTGAGGAGTCACCTGGAGTGGGTTGGGCAGGAAGGGTGGGCTCGGGATGTGACCCAATCTTTGCTTTAATATGAGAATAATGAGAGGAATGGGAGGGTGAAGCAATGGGCATTGCAACACCCCTGGTGGACGTAACCCCGGGGTTACTGGTCAAACTGGGGCACCCTCCAGCATGGCCAGAGGCCGGGGACATCTCTGTCACCTCCAGGGGACAGGGGGGAGGCGTGGGTGGAAGGGCAGCCCTGGCACAGCGGGGCAGAGATGCTGGGCTGAGGTCCTGCCAGGGGAGGCAGGAGGGCTGGGGTGGTCCCAGCAGAGGTGACACCTGCCCAGGAGTGGCCTGAGGGGACTGGCAGACCCCAGAGACCCCGCTGGAGTTGTTATGAGGGTGCACAAGGGGATCTCACTGCTCCCAGCTCCTGAGGTCAGGGCTGAGCCGGGGGCTCAGGCAGCAGCTCAGGGATGTCCCTCCTTCCCCAGCCCTGGGGGTGTCCCAGGCTGGGTGGAACGGGACTTGGAGCCACCTGGAATGGTGGCAGGTGTCCTGCCATGGCAGGGGTTGGCACTGGATGGGCTGTGAGGTCCTTCCCATGCAAACCCTCCTGGGATTCTGTGATTCCCTGTTTTGGGAATGGACCAGTGGGGCTGGGGGAGGCTGCTGGGGGTGACACCAGTCCCTGCTGCGACCAGGACTTGGTTCCAGGAGTTTCCAGGGGGCTGGCCTGCATCCTGCAAGGCATCAGAGCAGGAGGAGAGGTTAATTACAGCCTGTGCTAATTGCACCCGTGAAAACACCTCATGCAACACAGCCCCTGGCTGCCAACTGGGCCAAGGGCCACCACCTCCTGCAGCCCGGGCTGGCAGCGGGGGGTGGCAGAGCGCGGCCCCCCGGCACTGTGGGACCTTGGGGACAGATGCTGGGCAGTGGGAGGGGAAGGGCAGAGGGGCTCCTGCTGCCCAAACTGAGCAAGGGATGGGGAGCAGTGGTGCCACGGTCCTGCTGTCATTCCAGGTGGGAGATGTTTTCCAGCAATCTGATGCTCTGCGGGATGAGGTTTGGCTGCCAGCAGGTGACTGTGCCCAGCCTGGCTGGGGTTATGGCCATGGACCAGGAGCAGCTCCTGCTGTCCCCACCAGCTGAGATTCCCTTTCCCAGGGCTGGCAGCCCTGTGCCCAGCAGAGATTCCCAGGACACGAAGAGTTTAGTGAGCAGCAGGTCTGATCTTACCGACCTGGAGTCTCTGCAATGGCTGTCAATAGCCCAGGAGGTGACAGCAGTGACAGCTCGGGTGACTCAGGGTCCCCGTGTGACTCACGGCCACTCTCCACCCCTGGGTGGGTGACCTGCTTCCACCTGAGCCACTCCATCCCCGGGATGAGATCCACAGTGAGCCTCCCCCTGGGCCAGCCCCGGCCGCCCACGCAGGATCCTCCTGATTCACCTGCCCCGCTCCTGGGCTGAGCTCGGGGCGGCACCATGGACCTGCTGCTGCTCCCTGGGCTGCTGCTCCTGCCCCTGGCAGCGCTGCTGCTCTACAGGTGCAGCCCCCACTTCCAGTTCCTCTGCAAGGTGTTCTTTTTCAACTGCTGGATCGTGGCCTTGGCCACCCTGCTGTCCCCCTTGGCCGCCTTCCGGGGACGCTCCGTAGAGAACATGAGGTGAGCGTGGGCTGGGCTTGGGGAGAGCTGGCTGGGGCTTGGCTCAGCTGGAGGAGATCCTGTGGTTTGTGGCCACAGGCTCTGTCCTGCCCTGGCTGGAGCCACAGCTGGGTCACAGCTGGTGGCAGAGCCCTGAGGCCAAGGCCAGGGCTGTGGTCACATCCGTGGGGCAGTGAAGTGCAACTTGTGGTGTGAGAGGTGCTGGCTGTGCCCAGGAAGGGACAGGCCATGCTGAAGTTGGGATTTGTGGTCCCTGAGGGATGAAATAACATAAAAGAGATCATTCCTGGCCATGGTATGTTGGGGTCATCACCTGGGTGGGTAATGGGGGATTTGGAGGTACCATCAGGGCAGGGGGCAAATACATGCCCAGTGTTGTGTCCCTGGCTCTAGTTTTGCCCATGGCAGACCCGGGAACAGCACTTTGGCAGAGGGATTGAGGGTGGAGAGGCCCTGGCACAGATTATTCCATGGGTGCCCCTGGATCCCTGGAAGTGTCCCAGGCCAGGTTGGATGGGGCTGGGAGCAGCCTGGGACAGTGGGAGGTGTCCCTGCCCACGGCTGGGGATGATGCTGGGTTGGTTTAAGGTCCCTTCCCAACCAAACTATTCCATGTTTTTATGTTTCTGGGATGTCTTGGTGCCATCACCTGGCAGGGGCACAGCCCTGTCCCCATCACAGCCATGCTCTGATCACAGCCATGTCCCGACTCTGCTCCCGAGGGTGGAAGCAGGGAGATAACACCGGGGAGATAACACAGGGAGATAACATCAAAGTGCAACACCGGAGGAAGGCGCTCTCAGGGTGTTGCAATCCCGTTGCTGGATTCCCGAGCAGGATGAGCACAGCAGGAGGGATGCAATTACACAGGGAAAATATCCCAGCTTGAGAAACTCGCTGGGGATTTGTGCCGAGGGACCCCGGCCCGCGGCGGGAGCGCGGCCGCAGGTTCGGTGCTATCGGTCTGAGGTTCCGTGGTACCGGAGGTGGTTCGGTGGTACCGGTCAGAGGTTCGCTGGTACCAGAGGTGGTTCGCTGGCACCGGAGGTGTTTCGGTGTTATCAGTCCAAGGTTCGGTGGTACCGGCGGTGGTTCGGTGGTACCGGCGGTGCTGCAGCCTGTCCCAGGTCCGTACCGGCGGAGTGCCGGGCGCTGCTCCAAAGCGCACGCTGCCGGCCCAGCGGCAGTGCCGAGGGAGGCTGTGACTCACCCGCCTTATCAGCGCCGCCTTATCTTGTCCCACCGACAGCTCCGTGCGGGCGCAGCACGCCCAGCTCCCTCTCCTCCGAATCCCAAAGCCTGCGGCTCGGAGCGCTTCCCTGTCATTAGTCCTGGCTTTGGGGCACCGTTTCTCCTCGGATCCTCTGGGATCTCCGAGCCTGCGGCTCCCGAGGAATGGGGGCGATACCGCGGACCTTGTGCCTCCTTCTCCCTTCTCACCCTGCCTGGTGCTGAGCCCTTCCCTGCCCCCTGCGCTGTCCCCTGGGGCAGTGACAGATGTGGGGACCCTGGCACAGACCCTCTGTGCGTCGGACAGTGCCCTGCTCCAGCACCGATGCGTCCCAGGGTTGTCTCCACGGCTGCTGGAATCCCTGGTGCTCCCTCCTCCCTCCACTCCTCTCACTATTCCCATCCTGAGCGTCACCCATCGCTGCCATCCCGATATTCCTCCTCCTGTCCAACCCTCCCGGGATGTGACACCACTGTTCTGCTCAGATCCGTCTCTTCCCGACACTGCAGGTCGGGTGGAGCCATTTGTGATCCCCCTAAGGAATGTCTGGGCTGGTTTTCCCTTCCCCCTGCTGCACAAAG